TGAAGTCACTGCGTCTTTATTGAAGCAGCAGCATGTTGTCATTAATATTAATGAGAGCTCTTCTTCACTGGTTCTGTTGGACTGTTTAAAGCTGCGTCCTGGTGGCTTCAGCTGTTTGAAGTTTCCATTTTCTGAACTTGGACATTCTGAACCTTCTTTTACTGTGAACACATGAAGAAACTCTGCGTGATTTCAGGCAGGAACTTTGTCTCTGAAACTTACATCTGTTATTCTTTATTCAGATTGTGGGGCTGCAGTTTGTCAGCGATCAGCTGTGATTCTCTGGTCTCAGCTCTGAAGTCCAACCCCTCCCATCTGAGACATATGTACCTGAGTCAGAACAAGCTGCAGGATTCAGGAGTGAAGCATCTGTGTGGTTTTCTGGAGAGTCCACACTGCAGCCTGGAGGATCTGAGGTCAGTTTACTGTCTGTTACTTTTTATATGTTAATGATCAACTAAAGCTCATTTATGTTCATACAGAACTTCCATCCATGAAGCTGTAAATCTGATGTTGTTTATATTGTCTGTTATTTGTCCATGATTTAGTGTGTTGTGACCAGTGTCGTGTGATGAGGTTCATGGCTGATGAGGCACTGACTTCATCAGAATCTGATTTATAAATATATGCACTCTACACAGTATGTACATATTTACCATTTGATTGCCAGCAGTTTACGGGTTATGTTTCATATCTGCATTCTTTACACATACAAGCTGTAGCCCACAAAATGCATCTTTCTTTTTTTCTTTTTTTCAAGTTATTGCGGTCTTACCTTTACCTTTAAATGAAGTCCATGCTCCACTCCTTCTGGACAAAATATCCGTTGCTTTTTTGTAAAAGTCTCCTTATCTTCCTTCGCTGCACTTGACTTGCGAACTGTATACCGTACCTCGTCCAGCTTGCTGTCACTCTGCAGCCACGGAGTCACAAGAAACATGTCTGGGATCACAGCGCCCCCTGCCATGAGGCAAGAGAACTGCCTGCCTCACCTTGAACCTCTTCTCGGCCGTTTATGATGCTCAGCACACGGAACACGTTGCACACATACAGTTGGTAACAAAAAACACTGTACATGATTACATCAGCTGAACTCTGGAAAATCAGTTCATATATCAAATGTGTTTGAACCGTGTTATTGGCGACATCCAGACAGCAGCACGCTGTCACTGCAGGCAGCCAGCGGAGGTAGCGAAGGATTGTGCAATCCAAGTGAGGCTGAGCTCGCTGCTGCCTCACTTGGATTGCACAATCCCTCACTTCGCAGGCTGCCATGCAGTGACAGTCTACGCATGGCAGCCTGCGCAGTGAGGGATTGCGCAATCCAAGTGAGGCACAGCTCGCTGCTGCCTCACCGGCTTCTCTTCCAAGCATTTGAATGGGAAATTGCGAAAATTTTGCGATTTTGAATTTAAAAATCGTCAAAACTGACGAGGCTAAATGAAAAAATAAATACTTTATAGTACAAATCACTGGATAAATATAACCATCATAACAATCATCATATGTTTTTTTCTTTCCGTGATGTCAGGTGAGGCTCTGCCTCACCTGCCTCCCCTGACCGCACGTCACTGGTCGTGACAACAGATGAGTGTTTGTAGCGGAAACTGTAGAAACTGTTCAGTGTTAGTTGTTAAAGTAAATGAATGTTTGGATTTTGTGCTGAAGAGTCACATCTGGATCCAGAAGATCTTCTAAACTCAGATTAGTTTGAACTGATAAAGTTTATTGACTGAAGCAGAAATATTTCTTTGGTTTAATGTGATTTCACTGATAGATAGATAGATAGATAGATAGATAGATAGATAGATAGATAGATAGATAGATAGATAGATAGATAGATAGATAGATACTTTATTCATCTCCAAGAGAAATTTACAGTTCCAGCAGCTTCCAAGAAGGGAACACAGGGGCATGCAGTGTTNTGAAGTCACTGCGTCTTTATTGAAGCAGCAGCATGTTGTCATTAATATTAATGAGAGCTCTTCTTCACTGGTTCTGTTGGACTGTTTAAAGCTGCATCCTGGTGGCTTCAGCTGTTTGAAGTTTCCATTTTCTAAAATTGTACATTCTGAACCTTCTTTTATTGTGAACACATGAAGAAACTCTGAATGATTTCAGGCAAGAACTTTGTCTCCTAAACTTATATCTTTTATTCTTTGTTCAGATTGGAGCGCTGCAGTTTGTCAGCGATCAGCTGTGATTCTCTGGCCTCAGCTCTGAAATCCAACCCCTCCCATCTGAAAGGTCTGGACCTGAGTCTGAACCAGCTGCAGGATTCAGGAGTAAAGCATCTGTGTGGTTTTCTGGAGAGTCCACACTGCAGCCTGGAGACTCTGGGGTCAGACATCATGTTTTATTTGTGTGCTGAGATGAAAATGATGTGAAAGTTGTGGTGTCACTAAACTGATATTAAACTGATCCACACTGAGGATCTTCATGGTAAGATCTCAGTTATTTCAGTACTTTAGTTCATCAGATGGTAAAAACAGTAAAAAAAATAAATAAATAAATAAAATAAAATGTTGATCCCTCTATCAGAGTTCAAGGTGGCATCTTTAAATGTCTGGTTTAGTCCAAAACCACAGATATTCAGTTTAGTGTGATAAAAAACAGAAAGTCTTCACAGTGGACAAACTGGAACCAGTTTGATGTTTTTGCTCAATAATTGACTCCAACCATCCCCATGTTTTCTCCGTGCAGCGTGGGTTCTCTCCAGGTTCTCTGGCTTCCTTGTGCAGTCCAAAAACATGTTGAGGTTAATTGGTGATTCTAAGGCCACATTTACACATAGCCAGATATTTACAAAAACAGATCTATTAAAAATAAAAAAATAAATAAGTGTTCACACCAGATCATTTTCAAAAAAGTTTTTCTTTACACAAACCCACATAAACAAGTCGTTAAGAGCTGCTATGAGCATGCCAAACCTATTGGGGGCAGTGTAACGAGAA